AGTGAGTGAACAAGTTAGTGAACTTCAGTGAATGAACGAACTAGTGAACTTCATTGAGTGAACAAGTTAGTAAACTTCAGTGAATGAACGAACTAGTGAACTTCAGTGAGTGAACGATCTAGTGAACTTCAGTGTGTGAACAAGGTAGTGAACTTCAGTGATTGAACAAGCTAGTGAACTTCAGTGAGAGAACAAGCTGATGAACTTCAGTGAGTGAAGGAACTAGTGAACTTCGGTGAGTGAACAAGTTAGTGAACTTCAGTGAGTGAACGAACTAGTGAACTTCAGTGAGTGAAGAAGCTGGTGAACTTAATTGAGTGAACAAGCTTTTGATCTTCATTGAATGAACGAGCTAGTGAACATCAGTGAGTAAACAAGTTAGAAAACTTTAGTGAGTGAACGAGCTAGTGAACGCCAGTTAGTGAACAAGTTGGTGAACATTAGTAAACAAGCTAGTTAACTCCAGTGCGCAAGCTAGTGAAGTCCGTTAAGTGAACAGGCTAGTTAACTTCAGTGAGTGAACAGGCTAGCTAACTCCAGTGCACAAGCTAGTTAATTCCAGTAAATGAAACTCCATCGCACAATGTAAAGCACTGAAGTCACTGTCTGTGCACTAACTTGTGAAATGGAGTAATTTTACATTTGCATTTCAGCGCAGTAGACCACCAAATTTAGTTTGCTCCTATCTGTAGATCTCCGTTGCAATGTGAGATACCATATAGCATATTAATGACGTGTTTGTTTCAGTTATATAATATCTTAATGCATATATGTACTTTATATACATATAGTTAGCGCACGAGGCGGGATGATAAAAAACCAAAGCAAGATTTTAATGTTTCAACGAAAGCGATAAACAATAGGCAGCCACAAAACGAAATGCTGTATTATATTGGTCTCCGTACTTTTAAGTAGTCACGTAACTTTATCCCTTAGTTGCCACACTCTCAGATACATCTCGAGAAACAAAAGATTGTGGATTTTTTTTAGTCCCAAGCGGCTTCCATAAGCCCGTTACACGTTGCTTGGGTAGTACCGACAGACTTGGTTGTGTAGAGTTTATAGATTTCTGTTACATAATAAGACCTCTCTACCTAGGACCTCACAAACAGACGGATCCTTCAAATTCTGCTTCATTCATAGTGCTATATATAGCTTCACAATTAGTGCACGGAAAATCGTTCGACAGCACCTTCGTAAGCCATTACCGCGCATGACAGGAAATCGATAGCGTAATGGCTGTCGACCACTTCACTACGTGGCACGTGAGCACCTCCTGCCTGGTACCATTAGAAGTAACGTTGGACTACTTTCGGCCTCTCGTTTGTGTTTATAGAACCGTGAATAAAAAGATGATTTTTTTAATGATATTACATTATCGGTATTTAAACAATGAATGCTTCTGCCATTAAATTGCTCTACTTTTAATCATTTTATTTCACCTTTAACTTATTCGCTATTGTTTTAATTGTCGCCGACAATTCATTATCAAGCTGATGTTCACCTATATAATACAATTTCCGCTGTTTGTTATTTTTGAATTGAAAAAAATGAGAAATATCCATCAAAAAATCTAAATGCTATTAGTCAATGGCCGTTCTGGTGACATGGAAGAGGAAACAGACTCCGAAATTGGATACGAGGTTAAAAACCACCAGAAAACGCACTTCCGGTGCAGTGTGTGCATGTTGATTTCTTTCCTGCGTTCTTTATGTAACAAATGAGAACACATATGTTTAAATATGTCACAATCAAGCTGGTTACGTATCGTAGTTTGGAGATATTTTCCATGACACCAGCGTCAGTCGATAGATAAGTAATACATTGTCGTTGATACAGGTTTGTAACATATCCCAATAGAATTATAGATAGAGGCAGATCGCTAGTGTGTTGACAAACACAGGAATATCGAGTGTTCCTCGGCGGTTGAGATTTCTCATCTTGGTCATTTTTGCCTTCTTATCGGTTTGGTATTTTCTGATATATCTTGAGACTTGACATTCGATAACGTGACGTCATTGCTATATCTAGCGAAATGGAATCTCCCATTTTAACCATAGGTTAATGGTATCTTTCCTATAGCTTTGCAACGTCCCCTGTCAAAAAATCAAGATCATTTTCTACAGTTTGAATTTGGCATTACATCATTTAACGTCCTACCAACAACATTGGTCATGTAAGGACGACCGCGGGTGAAGACTTCTCTGTCATAGCCTACAGCTAGGGAGAGGTTCTATAAATTTTAAGCACGCAAAACCATGAAAACTGCCCGGTATCAATGACGTCTGGAAACGACACGCTTAATATCAATAATACACAGCTGGTATTAACTCTGTCAGCATCATATATCTCCGATGTTTGTAATAAAAACATGAATCTGTACCCAATGCTAGTTTCGAGTTATGCAAGCTACACGTTTTGTGTAACATCGGTGTACATGAGTTTCACACCCGTGCTGATTTGGTAGAATATTGATGCATGTTATGAACCACTATCTTAACATTAATCCAGGTCTGAGAATCGCTTGTTGCCAATACGATCTGACAGTATGTGGTCTACTACAATAAATGTGATAATCATTTGTGATAGAAAAAAACTTGTCCATGTCATGTTAGAATCTGGTAGAAGCTTTCTGTCGGGTTTTACCCGTGAACACAAATCTGAAACATCTGTTATCTAAGCCTTATATATTAAACTGTAACTTTATATATCAGCGCATTATTGGGTTAATGACCTCTGGGTATTACATGTTAAGCTACAATTCGAAGTACAGATAACCACTCTACAACCCCGGATGTAAATCACGTGATTTGTTTACTACCATGTAACGTAAAACGTCTTTTATTTCTGATGCGTAAATGTGAAAAATAACAAGAGAAATTTTATGCATGCTGCGACTTTCGATTTTTCGCTACTGACGCAACATCGATTAATTATCTTAAATTTTCTGTTCTCATAAAAATCTATATAGTATAAAAATCATCTATTATGGCTATATGTAAATATATATCCAATTATTTAGGATCACCAAATATTTATGCCATTTATATTCTTTTGTCAAGCGTCCCTGAGACGTGGACATCCTTTCAAACGTAAATAACACCATGCTTCACACTCTAGGACAATAACTGTGATTTTCCTTTGAAATATTTTCACAGACGTAATAAAACGCGACGACGTCCATTTATTATCTCTACTTGTCGACAATCAGAGAATACAAACGTGTCTGTGGGATGTGTGTGTGTCGGATATAAAAAAGAGTTCTGTCACTGAAGATCAAAGGACTCCATTATAGCAAAGGGAGATAACCGGGTCAATCACTATCGACTTGCTTTAGAAATGTGTAGTTTAGTGTGATATTTTTACATTTTTTGTAAAACAATGCAATAAAACATAACATCAGTATGACCATGAAATTTACAACAAAAACAAAACAAAGAAAGAGATGTAAAACATGTACAAAATTTTCCAAGCCTAGTAAGTGTAATAAAAACAAAATATCTTTAAACTTTACATATGATTTTCTTCTTCAAAACTAATTCAAAAATACATTTGCTGATATACCCTTCAAGATAAGAAACACCGATCAGAATTGTTGCAGTCTTATTTCTACAATATCACACTTTCGAAACGCAATAATGTTTATTTAAGCTTGACATACGTTGTACAACAAGCCTTCGTGTCCTGTGTTTTGGTTTAGTACAACAAATAGAAATTAATTCATTGCAATCTATCACAGATATGTTTCTTTTGAATGGGTCGTATTTTGAATCTAAATGATACCGTCTATATCGATCAGTATTTTAAAAGAATAAAGAACAAGATCTCAAACGATAAAATTATAAACTAGAATAAAACATCTGAATTTTTGGCTGCAGAAATTTATACCGTTTGTAATTTCACCTTTGATTCTGCGATCGACATTCACAGTTCTAATAAACTTCGTGTAAACGACAGTGTTATATAGAGTTTTATCATATATTTTTCTGTGATTATAGTGGTTTATACATTTGATTGTGTTCTAGCGAACAATGTGGCGCCAGACGTGGCAAGAGACCACCTTCTAGTCTGACAATAAAAATTATTTATTTATCACACGTGAGTAATAATCCTTTCTACGCGAACGCTTCCTTTAATGAGAGTTACCTCCCATTGTTCGATTTAATCGCAGAGCCGATAAAATTACTGTATCAATTATGGCAGACCTACGGAACCCAGTGTAGCTAAAACAGCAAAATCGATTCTAATTTCAATAAAAGGAATATCAGGGAATGATATGTTATTTAAGGTGTAATGAACCATATAGAATCCCGGACTTAAATAAAGCTTGAAGCAACCAAGGGCAATCCAGGTCGGCGGGCCGGTCGACCACCATTTTGGGGAAAATGTCGATTTTAGACGTTTTTCATACTAATAAAAAGACTACATCATCGAATGCTATGGATCGATGCTGGATATGCTTATTGAGTGACATACGTTCCACTGAACAACAGTTTCAAGTACATATATCATGGTTCAGTAGTTTCTCGGTTAAATTTTTGACAACCTGTGTTAGTACGTGGCCGCAATTATCACTCGCTAAAAGGGCTGAGCGATTTCACAAAGATTTCTCTTACTAATGGAAGTTGCATCTAAATTACAGGAACACAACACATTTGAAAGACACATTGTATGACGATCTCACACATCGTCAGTTCTGCAGCGCAGGAAAGAATATTCACCACGGCACGACCATGGTCCTGCATTGTCGAAGCGACAAGTTTTTCATATATTTTTCATGAAATCTCGTTAACGAGATGACCTAGGAGAAGTTTAAAATATATACTGATGAAGATCAAACGTTGACTAAGGTATTAAATTCATTTCCTATAAAACCGTATGCAAATAATTAATGAAAGTCTCATTGACAGACATATACATACAAAAAACAGGAATATCTTCCGAAACCGTGGCCGACATGATTCACATTTTTCTTTTTCTTTTTTCTTTTTATGTTTTAGGGTGGGGAGGGGAGGGTTTGGACTCTGCATCAATCTCTCAACTTGAAGAACGAGAGCGACTGGAGAAAATGGCCTGAGTAGCGAGTACGGCCATGAAGGATTTTCAAAGTTATTACACAACTTAAACGACGACGACAACGACGATGATGATGTGTTGGTGTCATAATGATGATGATGATGATGATGATGATGATGATGATGATGATGATGATGATGATGATGACGATGATGTGTTGGTGCCATGACGACGACGACGACGACGACGACGATGATGATGATGATGATGATGATGATGATGATGATGATGATGATGATGATGATGAATCTTCACATCTACATAAATTAATATGACCCGGAAACAAACATGTGAGCTTTTTTACGTACTTCACTACCCAGACTTTTACAATGATGTAAACTTGTCCTTTATATATAAAATTAGGTAGAGAAGCACGTGACACTGATACAAGTTAACACGTAAAATGGCTGCCTATTTTTGGTGTAATTTTCATAAATGCAACCCGAGAAAATGTCAACCTGAATAACGGCAGCTGTTGAATGTTATCAAATTAGATAGGAGAGATTTGGCGTCACCCTAGTGGTAGCCTCATATTACTTCATAAGGGGACTGTAACTGGTTATATATAGAAACACTTATCACATTATTATATCAAAACCACAAGGACAAATTAAGACAATATCAGAATTTTGTCTGGTTATTTTTCTATAATCCAAGTAATACCAAATATATTTTAAGAGGCACCAACAAACTGCTAAAATAAAAAAAACAAAAAAAAAAAAAAAAACAAAAACAAAAACAAAAAACAAAAATACGGAAGAATATACTGCAGACAAACGGAGAAAGAGGAACCGAATACAGTAGAATGATAGTCTTATTTCAACGTTTTTCCGTCTTTAAAGGCGACGGGACCGTAAACCTCCCACTTTCTCCCTCTCTTCACTCATACTGCAATACGAAGGGGATAGTCATTGATTATTGATTTGTCGTTTCCTGTAACATGACATAATAGACGAAATGGCATGAAGTAATCTCTACAGAGAATGAGAAATGTAGAACTTGCGAAATGAAAAATCTACATGTCTGGCTGACTGCTATCATGATAGAAACTGGATTTGTTTTCTACATTAGAATGTCATATAAATCGCATTTTTCCTGAGGGAAAATCACATTGAAAATTGATACGCATGCTTGTGTTTTTATCAAATCAGCCATGAAAAAATATAATATCAGACGAAACCAAACCCAACGGTTCGGAGATATTGGTTGTGAATTATATATTTTAAAACAACAACACCAACAACAACTGAATCAGCAGCAACAACAAGCAAAGCAGAAACCATAGCAACAACGACAACAACAACAACAGCCCTAGCAATATTTGCAAATTCAAACAGTCACATCAGAAGATAAACAGAGATACTTTCAACAAAAAGTTCAGGCCGTGAATAGGGAAATCCCAACCTACGGTCCTGGCCATGAACGGGGAAATTTCCAACTTGAGGTTCAGGCCGTGAACGAGGAAATTTCCAACTTGAGGTTCAGGCCGTGAACGGGGAAATTTCCAACTTGAGGTTCAGGCCGTGAACGGGGAAATTTCCAACTTGAGGTTCAGGCCGTGAACGAGGAAATTTCCTACTTGAGGTTCAGGCCGTGAACGGGGAAATTTCCAACTTGAGATTAAGGCCATAAGTAGGGTAACTGCCAACTGAAGTGAGCTTTTATCAGATTTCGGATGCTAAATGTTGTGTTCCCAGTAGAAATTTAAAATCTTAATTGCATCATACAGCTATTTAATAGAAATGCGAAACTAAATGTTCTAGCTTTGAACATGAGCACTTAAGGAATGATGAATAAGGCCCGGATTTTGAATATCTAATGATTGCCTGAGGCCCAGAATAAGAACATGGAAGGAACATTTAATGACTGTTGACTGAGGCTTGGACTAAAAACAATGAGTGAATGTGACTGATGTCAGGACTAGAAACATTTAATGATTGGCGAATGAGGCCCGAAATAGGAACATTTAATGACTGGTGTATAAGGCCCGAAATAGGAACATTCAATGACTGGTGTATGAGGCCCGAAAAGGAACAATTAATGAATGGTGTATGAGGCCCGAAAAGGAACACTTAATGAATGGTGCATAAGGCCCGAAATAGGAACATTTAATGACTGGTGTATGAGGCCCGAAATAGGAACAATTAATGAATGGTGTATAAGCCCGAAATAGGAACATTTAATGACTGGTGTATGAGGCCCGAAATAGGAACAATTAATGAATGGTGTATGAGGCCCGAAATAGGAACATTTAATGACTGGTGTATGAGGCCCGAAATAGGTACATTTAATGACTGGTGTATGAGGCCCGAAATAGGAACATTTAATGACTGGTGTATGAGGCATATAATGCTAATAATAAAATTGTATATAATGAGGAATGCGATAATATTCATTTCTAAATATCACGAAAAGTGAGTGTGAGACGGTTTGTATGCGGCTGTATATTGTATGTAGACATAAGGAAATCTTAGTGTGAATCACGATAAAAGAAAGTATTGATTTTTCCTCGCCAACAATTAAACTAAGACAAGAGAGAGAGACAATTTGACTAGGCCTTACGGTGTGAAGCCTTACATAAGACCAGACGTTCTCTGTGAAGTCCTGATAAGTACATTAGTAAACATATTGCACCTGATTCTATACAAGACTGTTTCATCTTTCAGACCTAACACATGCGACAAACTTTGGAAAAAAACATACGGAAAGAAATAAAAACCAAATCGAGTTCGTGTTCGAACGCGAAAGTCAAAATGTCAATACTCAAACTACGCCATCAGGTCCACACAGTCTCCACGGAGTCCATACTCAACCACCAAATATAGACACGGATTCTATACTCATACTCCAGATACAGACACTGAGTCCATACTCAGTCACAAGATACAGACACTGAGTACATACTCAATAACCAAATATAGGCACGGAGTCTATACTCAAACTCCAGATACAGACACTGAGTCCATACTCAGTTACAAGATACAGACACTGAGTACATACTCAATCACAAGACACAGACACTGAGTACATACTCAGTCACAAGATACGTACAATGAGCCCATATTCAAACTCCAGATACAGACACTGAGGCCATACTCAGTCACAAGACACAGACACTGAGTTCAAACTAAACCACCAGATACAGACAATGAGCCCATATTCAAACTCCAGATATAGACACTGAGGCCATACTCAGTCACAAGATACAGACACTGAGTACATACTCAATAACCAAATATAGGCACGGAGTCTATACTCAAACTCCAGATACAGACACTGAGTCCATACTCAGTTACAAGATACAGACACTGAGTCCATACTCAGTCACAAGATACAGACACTGAGTTCATACTAAACCACCAGATACAGACACTGAGTCCACACTCAATCACCATATACAGACACGGAATCACAATCAATGTATGCTGGATATCATTTAAAATTCAGCTAGCATGTTTTGCTTTTATTCTTCTTTATTTGATAAAGTCATGTGTCGGACACATCACTTATATAACCACTAATGTGACGCGATGTTCCTCAGAGAGAACGATGTCTGAGTACAAAAGTCTCATGAACGTTAGGTGTTTTACCACGCAGTGACAGTCTCCTAGTATTTACAAATAATGCTGAAAACACACCGTGCGAGACAGGTCTCCTTGATGTGACGAAGATACTGTAAAAGCTACAGGTACAGTTTTAACAATTACATTGTGTGTTTCCGGATCCTGTCTGTCCAGTGGTCTCCCGGGAGTTTACTTGTGTCTACGGTAATGGATTTGCCTGTAAATCGTTAAAAGCATGGTTGTATAATATAATACTCGTCTGCATGACGTGTGTGGACCGTGATGTAGAACAACACGAGATCACGGCCAGAATCACACTGAAAAGCACGAATAAGTGAAAACATCAAATTATTTATAGTATTCAGTATCTAAATTGCAGATACCCCTAAACTATTGATCTCAAAATCTCACATACGAAACGTAATTATATATAACTCATTACCACAGACCACTCATTACCACAGATCACTCAATACCACAAATCACTAATTACCACAGATCACTCATTACCACAGATCACTCATTACCACAGATCACTCATTACAAGAGATCAGTCATTACCACAGATCACTTAATATTACAGATCACTCATTACCACAGATCACTAATTACCACAGATCACTCATTACCACAGATCACTCATTACCACAGATCACTCATTACAAGAGATCAGTCATTACCACAGATCACTTAATATTACAGATCACTCATTACCACAGATCACTCATTATCACAGATAACTCATTATTATCACAAATCACTTATTACTACATATCACGCATTACGACAGACCACTCTTTACCAAAAATCATTCATTACCGGAGACCACTCATTACCACAGATCACTCATTACAACAGATCACTCATAACAACAGATCAGTCATTATCACAGATCACTCATTATCACAGATCACTTAATATTACAGATCAGTCATTACCACAGATCACTCATTACCACAGATCACTTAATATTACAGATCAGTCATTACCACAGATCACTCATTACCACAGATCACTTAATATTACAGATCAGTCATTACCACAGATCACTCATTACCACAGATCACTTAATATTACAGATCACTCATTATTACATATCACTCATTACCACAGATCATTCATTACCACAGATCACTCATTACCACGGATCACTTAATATTACAGATCACTCATTACCACAGACCATTCATTACCAGAGACCACTCATTACCACTGATCACTCATTACCACAGATCACTCATTACCACAGATCATTCATTACCACAGATCACTCATTACCACAAATTACTCATTACCACAGATCACTCATTACCACAGATCATTCATTACCACAGATCACTTAATATTACAGATCACTCATTACCACAGATTACTCATTATCACAGATCACTTAATATTACAGATCAGTCATTACCACAGATCACTCATTATCACAGAT